CTGTTGCCCAGGCTGGAGTGCAGTGGCGTGATCTCAGCTCACTGCAACTTCCGTCTTCTGGGTTCAAGCGATTCTTTTGCCTCAGAGTAGCTGGGACTACAGGCATGCACCACCATGCCTGGCTAACTTTTGTATTTTTAGTAGAGATGGGGTTTTGTCATGTTGGCCAGGCTGGTCTCAAATGCCTGGCCTCAACTGATCCTCCCACCTCAGCCTTCCAAAGTGCTGGGATTATAGGCGTAAGCCATCGCACCTGGCCTTAATCACACTTTTGAGTCACTTATATCTGATTTAGATGAGATTCTGGACTGAAGACTTTTGAGTCATTGCTAGAACAAGATCTTGGGAGCTATTGAGATGGAATTTTGCATGGAGAAGACCATGAATTTGGGGATCCAGGGGAAAATCCTGTGGTCTGAATGTTGGTGTGCCCCCCAAATTTATATGTTGGAACCTAATACCCAATAGGATAGTATTAAGAGGTGGGGCCTTTAGCAGGTGACAAGGTCATAAGATGGGGTTAGTGCCATTATAAAAGAGGTCAGAAGTCTGGGTGCAGTAGCTCATGCCTATAATCCTAGCATTTTGGAAGACCAAGGCAGGTACGTTACTTGAGCCTAGGAGTTCAAAACCAGGCTGGGCAACATGGTGGAAACCTGTCTCTATAAAGAACACAAAAACTACCCAGGCATGGTTTTGCATGCCTGTAGTCCCAGCTACTTGGGAGGCTGAGATGGGAGGATCACCTGAGCTCCTGGATGTTGAGGCTGTAGTGAGCCTTGATCTTGCCACTGTACTTCAGTCTGGGTGACAGAGTAAGACCCTGACTCAAAAAAAAAAATTAATTAAAAAACAAAAGAGGTCAGAAGGAGCTGGTTAGCACCCTTCTGCCATGTGAAGGCACAGAGAAGGCACCATCTACGATTAGTAGGCCCTCATCAGACACCAAATCTTCTGACGCCTTGAACTTGCATTTCCCAGCCTCCAGAACTGTGAGAAATAAATTTCTGTTGTTTATAAATTACCCGGTTTAAGATATTTTGTTGCAACAGCAGGAACAGGAGAAGACAGTTGCCCAACATTGTGAATGTACTGGAAGCCACTGAACTGTACACTTTAAAATTATTGAAATGGTGAACGTTATGTGACTTTTACCTCAATTCAAAAAAGAAAAGAAGTATTGATACGTGCTACAAAATGGGCAGATCTTGAAAACATATGCAAACTGAAAGAAGCCAGCTACAAAGGACCACATATTGTATAATTCCATTTTTTTGAAATGTCCAGAATAGGCAAATCCACGGAGACAGAACGTCGATTGGTAGCTGCCTAGTGCTGGGGTAGGGGGTAAGGAGCAAGAGAAGAGGTTTGAAGGAAAAATGGGGAGTGACTGTTAACGGGTACACGCTTCTTTTTAGGGTGATAAAAATATCCTGAAATTGGTTGTGCTGATCATTTCATAACACTGGGTATGCTAAAAGCATAGAATTATATTCTTTAAATGGGTGAATTGTATGAGATGTGAATTCTATTTAAATATATTTGTTATAAAAAATTCTTGAGTGTGATAACAATGTTACCAGAAAGAGGTCCCAACCTAAACCCCAAGAGAAGGTTCTTGGACCTCACACAAGAAGGAATTCAGGGTGAATTCATAAAGTGAAAGCAAGTTTATTAAGAAAGTAAACAAACAAAAGAATGTCTATTCCATAGGCAGAGCAGCGGAATGGGCTGCTCAACTGATTATACTTATAGTTATTTCTTGATTATATGCTAAATGAGGGATAAATTATTCATGAGTTTTCCACGAAAGAGGCAGGCAATTCCCAGAAATGAGGATTCCTCCCCTTTTAGGACCATATAGGGTAACTTCCAGATGTTGCCGTGGCATTTGTAAACTGTCATGGCACTGTTGCCGTGTCTTTTAGCATGCTAATGTATTATATTCATGTATAATGAGCAGCGAGGATGACCAGAGGTCGCTTTCATCGCCATCTTGGTTTTGGTGGGTTTTGGCTGGCTTCTTTACTGCATCCTGTTTTATCAACAGGGTCTTTGTGACTTGTATCTTGTGCTGACTTGCTATGTCATCCTGTGACTAAGAATGCCTAACCTCCTTGGAATGTAGCCCAGTAGATCTCAGCTTTATTTATTTATTTATTTATTTAGAGACGGAGTCTTGCTCTGTCACCCAGGCAGTTTGATCCCAGGACAGGCTGGAGTGCAATGGCACAATCTCATCTCACTGCAACCTCCACCTCCCGGGTTCAAGCGATTCTCCTGCCTCAGCCTCCTGAGTAGCAGGGATTACAGGTGTGTACCACCATGCCTGGCTAATTTTTGTATTTTTAGTAGAGACAGGGTTTCACCATGTTAGTCAGGCTGGTCTCGAACTCCTGACCTCATGATCCACCTGCCTCAGTCTCCCAAAGTGTTGAGATTACAGGCCTGAGCCACCGCGCCCAGCCTGGTCTCAGCCTTATTTTACCTACCCCCTGTTCAAGATGGAATTGCTCTGGTTCAAATGCCTCTGACATATTTTCCCCCTCCCTTTTACAAGAGTCCCCTTAATCCTAAGGGTTATAGAGGGACAAAGATCAATCTTCTGTGACTTCTTCAGGCTGGATAGGGGAGATGATGTTCCTGCCTAACTATTAGGGTCTCTTGTATTTAGGGTAGAGAGGAGTTCAGTCAGAAATCATCTGTATGGTGAGGGCTACTCATAACTCTGAGTTCTGACAAAAGGTGGTATCTGGAAGATTAATAAGTGTTCAATTTAAGAAATCATTGAGTAAGCTTATCCTGCATTCCTACACAAAGAGTACAATGGCAATGTATTCCACAACAGTAAAGCAAAATAAGTTAAATTATCCCAGGTAAAGTAAATTAAGAAGGTTTCCCATGAACCAGGCAACTGTTGGAACCAAGCTGACATAAGGTTGCTAGCTGATTCCAATATGTGCCCAAAAATAGAATATTGGTCTAGATTTTTACATTAGCCATCCCTCTTGTTTCTTCTTAGCTGTAGCCAGAGATCATTGGTTGGTTCACAGGAATAAGCAGGGTCAGTCTAAATTGTAGAAAAAACTCAAAAAACAACTGACGGGACTAGAACTTAATAACAAGTGTACCATAGTTCTTGAAACAATTTTTCTCTCTCCAGCCCTCATTTTTACTAAAGACAAATCATTGTAAGACTGATTTGTTTGCAAAATAAGCATTAGTCTTATTGTACTTGGCCTGATTATTTGTATAAAGTGCAACAAGAATAATTATTTGCCATGTAGACTCCTTTTCAAATTGACTTTGATGGAACTTTGCTCCATAAGGAATCTTGGATAAGACTTTTTTTTTTTTAAAGTCAAGCCAAGCCATGTGTTATTCCTGTCAAATACCTGTATGAGTTGGGTAAATTTCTCTCCTCTTGAGGTCCCAATATAACTTGGGGCTCCTGGGCCTGTCAGAAAGTGACATTCTTTACTTACCACAGGTCAGGAACCCTGTACAGGGACTGTGTAGACAAGGTATAAAGCCAGTTTTCCCAAGGGGCTTTTATTGGCTCTATATGTCAATTTTGATTCCTTAAAGAAAAACATGCCATTCCAGTCAAAGCCTTGGTAAAATTACCAGTTTCTCCAATTGTGTCCTGTCACAAATGAAGACAGATGCTTACTGCACTTATGCAAATAACTATATTGCCATAAGTTAAAAATACTCACAAAGGGTTTCCAAATTCTGGATAAATAAGGTAGAGAGAAACGAATATGCCCCAACTTTTGTTTATAGGAGTATACTTCACTCAATTATCAAAGACTGTAAATAGGCCAGGCACGGTGGCTCATGCCTGTAATCCCAACACTTTGGGAAGCTGAGGTGGACAGATCACATGAGGTCAGGAGTTTGAGATCAGCCTGGTCAACATGGCAAAACCCCATCTCTACTAACAATATAAAAAATTAGCTGGGTGTGGTGGTGCGCACCTGTAGTCCCAGCTACTCAGGAGTCTGATGCACAAGAATTGCTTGAACCCAGGAGGTGGAGGTCGTGGTGAGCTGAAATTGTGCCACTGTACTCCAGCCTGGGCAACAGAGCGAGACTCTGTCTCAAAAAAAACAAAATGTAAATAGCTTAAAAGTTATCTTGCCTCTGAAAAACAAAACAAAAGATCAGCAACATTTTAAGCAAAAAGTCATAAAAGGATTATTTCAGTCTTCTGTTATTAGTTCAGTCCATGCAATTAACACCTGTTCTGCTTGATATTCATAAACATTTCAGCTATGACAGTCCTGGAAGTTTTTCCTCTATTCTAATGTCACAATCTCCAAAGTTATCAGAAACCTGCCTTTAAGAGCACCCGTCAAGGCTGGGCGCGGTGGCTCAAGCCTGTAATCCCAGCACTTTGAGAGGCCGAGATGGGCGGATCACGAGGTCAGGAGATCAAGACCATCCTGGCGAACACAGTGAAACCCCGTCTCTACTAAAAATACAAAAATTAGCCGGGCGCAGTGGCGGGCGCCTGTAGTCCCAGCTACTCGGGAGGCTGAGGCAGGAGAATGGCGTGAACCCGGGAGGCAGAGCTTGCAGTGAGTGGAGATCTCCACTGCACTCCAGCCTGGGCGACAGAGTGAGACTCCTCTCAAAAAAAAAAAAAAAAAAAAGAACACCCATCAAAGACCTATAGCTGATTACAAACCTTTCGAAGAGGATTAAAACAAGACAACAATTGTCTGTGGATGACAAAAAGTCTTAGGACAGCCATTGTTAAAGTCACATTTGACTAGGAATTGTGGTTACTTCTATGGCTTTCAATGATTTCACATAACAATTATAACTATTAATAACATAGGCGCTTCCCATAATTTTGGAACACATACCAATAACATATTTATACAAATATAACCCAAAGAAAGCCAAACACCATTTCACATTTGACAATGCTTCCTGTATGACTTTCTGTGCGTGTGATTTTGGGTTATTTATTTTGTGCATCTGTGGCAATGAATGAGATCTCAGTGGTGGTGTGGATTTGACTGGTCTCTACAACTGTGTATGGCAAAAGAACTGGCAAAAGAAAATGACAACCAGATCCCAGCAAAGGGGTAGGGAGGGCCAAGAGAACTGAACATCTGGGCTGGCAGAGAAATCAAAGCCTAGGAATTAAGAGGTAAGAGTGTAGTGTAGGGGATATACCCCCATCTCTTTGCTCCTTCCCTTTTCCTTCCTCTCCCAGGGACCCAGGTCCTTGGGACTACACTGAATCTGTCTCTGAAGCTGAAAAACAAAAGGCTGAGGAGATAGTTGGCTCTAAGTGACCAGTTTCAAGCCAGCTTTGTCAGAAATCCTAGATCACAGGAGAAGGGTGGGAAGAAAGGATATGATTATTCTTGTTCCATCTTCCATTAGAGGTGAGAATGACAAGGAACTCTCTTCTAACTCCTCTTGAGGGCATGAGGAGAGTTAGCAGGAGAAGGGCTGGGAGCCCTGAGGTCTCCTGTAGGACCTCATATCCCACAGGCAAGGACTAAGAATTAGGATGAAATATTTTAGTGGGATAGCTCTAAACCAGTATTAGCAAGCACAGTCAGGGTGAGAATTTCTGGAATCTGACTGGGACCCTGGCAGTGAAAGCGGGGACTGTTGAAAACCCAATTTCGATGTTTGCTACTCAAGTTGAGAGTGCACGGCCAAGATAACCAGATCCCAGGACAGGCAGTTTGACAGCGAGAACAAAAGGAAGAGGCTGGGACCAAGGTGCCTAGATCCCTGGAGAGAGAAGGGTGGGTATTGGGAGGAAAAATGAGAACTGGGGGAATTCAGGAGTCTGGGTTCTGAAATAGCAGCAAGTCAGAATTCCAGGATCTCTGTCTACCCTCCTCTTCCTCTTCCCTCTGTCAGGCAGAAGAGAGAGAAGGAGGGTACTGGAGAAGAAGCCACATGGATACATTCAGGAAGGGTGGGGGAAAGAGGAATTTAGCGCTGCATTGGCCCTGCTGGGGGCTGGGAAGGGTCAGGAGGCCGGGAAGGCGTGGTGGGGGTCGGTCCCAGGGTTGCACGACGCCATCCTTTGCGGTGGCCACGTACAGAGTGTGTATGATCACAGCCCTCTTCTTCCTCCTCATCACTTTCCGTGGAGCTGTCGCCAAAAGCCCGGGGTTTTTCATAAATACAGCAGCATTTTGATGAGCGGTGGCGCATGCGCTCATTGTCCACAGTGTCACTTGTCCATTCCACCTTTTTCTCTGGTTTCCGTTTCCGAAGTTTGATGGTAAAGCTGCGGTTCTCGGGCTCGGTTGTCACGGTAACCGTTGTCTCAGTGACGGTCTCGCTCAGCCCAGCCCCTGCCTCGGCCATGGCTAAGGCTCAGGAGAGGGAGGAGAGGAGGAAGGGGGATGAGACACCCTTCTCTTTTTATGCCTCAGGTCTAGGAGAAGCAGTATTGGATTCAGTGGTAGTCAGGATCCTCCACCTTCTTTTTACCCCCTCCTCCTGGGCCTCCTCTTCTCCACCCCCTGGGGATAACCTGACCAACTCCCCTTCCGACGCTGCTTCTGGGTGATTTTTTTATACAAATAAGTCAAATATTATCATTTTTGGACTTTAGGGGACCTAATATCTAAAACATTAATTAAGTCAGAAAAAGATATAATTTATAATTTGATTTTGGAAAGTTGGTCAAATATCAAAGGTTTAAAATACTTGCTATTATAAAATAGAATCCTAGGTCACCCTAAGTTATTCATTTAGCCAAAAATAACTCAAAAATTTTTAAAAGGCATAAAACTTTACTTATTGATAGAGGGAAGACTTAGCTTTCCAAACAATCTATCTCTTGTCTTTCCTTTCTTTTTCCTGTGGTTTATTCAAAAGGCAAACAAAAATCTTCATTATCCTTTAATATTACATACACATCTTGTTCATGGCCAAGCGTGGTGGCTTATACCTGTAATCCCAGCACTTTGGGAGGCCAAGGTGGGTGGATCATTAGAGGTCAGGAGTTTGAGACCAGCCTGACCAACATGGTGAAACCCCATCTCTACTAAAAATACAAAATAATAAAAAAAAAAGAATAGCTGGGCGGAGTGGTGCGCACCTATAGTCCCAGCTACTCAGGAGGTGGAGGCAAGAGAATCACTTAAACCAGGAGGTGGAGGTTGCAGTGAGTTGAGATCACACCACTACACTCCAGCCTGGGCGACAGAGACTCTGGCTCAAAAAAAAAAAAAAAAGAAAAAAGAAAAAAATAGAAAACCTTGTTGTGCTTTTATTCCAATGTTCAATTTATGGAAAAACTTTAATTTCAGCCAATATGTTTACACACAGAATGTTATATGTAAAATGCTTGTTTTTTGGTACTATAAGGAAAAATTAGCATTTAGACAAAAAGATTTTTTAGCAAGGTAATTTTACTTTTGCAGAAAGGGTGCTTTTGGCAGATGGAAGAATGACGAGAGCACACCTGAACAAAGGAGGGAAGCAATGTTTTATTTTTTATTTTTTATTTTTTTGAGATGGAGTTTTGCTCTTCTTGCCCAGGCTGGAGTGCAATGGTGCAATCTCGGCTCACCGCAACCTCCGCCTCCCGGGTTCAAGCGATTCTCCTGCCTCAGCCTCCCTAGTAGCTGGGATTACAGGCATGTGCCACCACGCCCGGCTAATTTTTTTAGTAGAGACAGGGTTTCTCCATATTGGTCAGGCTGGTCTCGAACTCCCGACCTCAGGTGATCTGCCCACCCCGGCCTCCCAAAGTGCTGAGATTACAGGCATGAGCCACCGAGCCCGGCCAGCACTCTTTATTTTTTAAGCAGTTTGTTTTTGCTACTGTGTTTTGTCTTCATTGACTGGAGCTAGACCTTACAATTTAAACTAAAACCTGACTGGCTAATAATTTAAAACTTTTTAAAATAGGTAAAGGCAATAGAGAACAAAGGAAAAGAGGAAGTTGTTTGCAAAAGGACTTACAAAAGTAATAATATTTTTAAATAAGGAAGAGGCATAAGCTGCAAGTTGGAACATGCCTGTGAGCACGTTTAGCATAAATGGTTTGGTTAAAGTACAAGTACATCGAATGTATTTTTTAAAAAATATTTAAGAGCTACATAGAATAGGGCTTAACAAAGAGTTAACAACACAAAGCAAGGAGGCTTGAAAGAAGTTAGTTTTTAAAAGAAATATTCTTTCTAACACTTATGATTTATTTTTTAACAAGAAGAGAAACTTTGAAGAGGAAACTTTTTACTTTCTACGCAGAATTTCTTTTACAAGATTAATTTTTCACAAATCTTATGCAACTTGCTCAAAACTTCAGCTTTATCCTATCTAACTTAAAACAATCCTTTAACCCTATAAACTAGGCCAAAAAGAAAGCACTCACATTCCTATGCCTTCTTATAATCTTTTACCAAAAACATATTTCACTTTTCTTTTTTTTTTTTTTGAAATGGAGTCTCACTCTGTTGCCAAGGCTGGAGTGTAATGGCGCGATCTCGGTTCACTGCAACTTCTGCCTCCCGGGTTCAAGCGATTCTCCTGCCTCAGCCTCCCCAGTAGCTGGGACTAACCAGCGCACCACCACACCCGACTAATTTTTGTATTTTTAGTAGAGACGTGGTTTTGCCATGTTGGCTAGGCTGGTCTCGAACTCCTGACCTCAGGTGATCCACTCGCCTCGGCCTCCCAAAGTGCTGGGATGACAGGCGTGAGGCACCAGGCCTGGCCTTACATTTCACTTTTCTTACACACCTTGCAAGTAGAAGTGTTTCTTCAGTAGTCTCAATTACATGTTACAATAATGTTAACTCTTAGCAACTTTTATTTTTGCTGAAAAATCTGGTAAGTGATTCTAATTATGTACCAGGAGTAGAACCTAAGACACCAGACAGAAACGCAGATGAGGTCTAACTCTTTCCAGCTGCAGGTCATGACTAACTCCACCTGTCCCCAGACTTTAATGACTTAAAAGCAGGTCAGTGGAAAGATTTTCAAAAGTCAAAGAAGCAGTTTATGACGTTAAAGCATTTAGCAAACCTAATAGCTGGCTTGCCTAATTTAGACCAAATATCTAAATTTTGAAGACATTTTTATTTTACCAATAATCTTTAAAACTGTCTTTATTTCCCAAAGCTTACTAAAGTCACACGAACTGAAAAGCATTGCAGTTTTTATTTTTCTGACAAAATATTTAAGGGCTTATTGTTTTTAAACCAATTAATCAGAGCTCTTTCTTATATAAACATCACACACACAACACATAATACACAGAAGATCCAGTAGTTGTAAGAGTTTTCATTTGCCAGTTTTTAAGTTTCTTTTTAGAGCATGTAGTTTCTTTCTTTTTAAAAAAATTATTTACATATTTTTGAGACAGGGTCTCACTCTGTCACTCAGGCTAGAGTACAGTGGTGCAATATCAGGTCACTGCAACCTCTGCCTCCCAGGTTCAAGTGATTGTCATGTCTCCGTTTCCCAAGTAGTTGGGATTACAGGCATGCACCACCACATCTAGCTAATTTTTGTATTTTTAGTAGAGACGGGGTTTTGTCATGTTGGCCAGGCTGGTCTCGAACTCCTGGTCTCATGTGATCAACCCACCTTGGCCTCCTAAAGTGCTGGGATTACAGGCGTGAGCCACCACACCTAGCTAATTTCTAGGACCTAATAAGCCCATACAGCTGGAAGGCAAAACAGATTCCCCCCAAATTAAGGGTCTCATTTTTACACCAGATCCTGGATCCCCAAAAAGGAGGGAATCAGCCCATCTCCCAACGGAATCTTATCTCTCAGTGGCAGTGGGGACATATCCATACCTTCTAGGCGGCCAAGAGCATGCTTCTCTGATCCAAACATGTGAAGAGCTGAGAATCCTCCCTTAATTGCCATTAGCAATGCCCCAAAGTATATCCTCCACCTAGTTATTACACACCAAAGCTCTGTCATAATGTGAAGTAATTTCTGATACCACCCAAAGTAAGAAACGTCAGATAATACAATGCAAAACAGAATAGAGCCTTAGATTTCCAGAGGGATCAATCTATTCAGTTCTAATTCCTGGGGTTTCAGGAGGAAAATAGAGGTTTTTCCCAAAACAGTATCTGTGGCATCTCCTCTGTTCTTCCCAAGGAGTCACAGGCTGTTAGAAATTATCTCAGGTCCTTTTGGCCGGGCGTGGAGGCTCACGCCTGTAATCTCAGCACTTTGGGAGGCCGAGGCAGGCGGATCACAAGGTCAGGAGTTTGAGACCAACCTGGCCAACATGGTGAAACTCTGTCTCTATTTAAAAAAATACAAAAATTAGCTGGACGTGGTGGCGGGCGCCTGTAATCCCAGCTACTCGGGAGGCTGAGGTGGGAGAATCTCTTGAACCTCAGGAGGCAGAGGTTGCAGTGAGCCAAGATTGCACCATTGCACTCCAGCCTGGGTGACAGAGCAAGACTCTGTCTTAAAAAAAAAAAAAAAAAAAAGAAATTATCTTAGGTCCTCTCATGTGGACAGGCAAGAAGACAAAATGGAGAAAAACAATTCAGTCAACTAAGGAGAAAACAATTTTTTTCTTTAGAAAAATAAGATCCAAAAGAGAAAAAAATATAAAGATCTTTTAAATATACTTATAACTAGAATATCTGCTTTTAACTAAGCTGATTTTAACCATAGCACTCTTTAAAAAAGAAATCTTTTTAAATCTCTTATTACCCGACTGTAGCCTAGCCAAATGGCCAATATTTCTGGCTTTCGAACTTTACTAAAGGTAACCTCATAGCACCTCAGGTGCTCAGAGAAAGGAAGATTCAAGAAGGGAAGTCGGAAGTTGTTCATGGAGGGAAAGAGACTCAGTGAATGGCAAAGGCCACATGACAGAAATAACTCATTTCCTAGGCCAAAAATTAAACCTGGGCCACCATGGTGAAAAGACAAAGCCTTAGCTACTGAGCTACACCACTGGGCAGTGTCCATTGCTGTTCCCAGAAGGAGCCTAGAGCAGTCAGTTTTGAGCTTGCAATGGCTTTTAACTGCTCAAGATAATTTTTTTTTTTTTTTTTTTTTTAAAAGAATTTCTTCCACCCGGGCTAGAGTGCAGTGGTTATATCTCTGCTTACTGCAACCTCCGCCTCCAGGTTCAAGGGATTCTTCTGCCTCAGCCTCCCGAGTAGCTGGGATTACAGGCATGTGCCACCACGCCCGGCTAATTTTTGTACTATTAGTAGAGATGGGGTTTCACCATGTTGGCCGGGCTGGTCTCGAACTCCTGACCAGGTGATCCACTCGCCTCGGCCTCCCAAAGTGCTGGGATGACAGGCGTGAGGCACCAGGCCTGGCCTTACATTTCACTTTTCTTACACACCTTG